CACAAAATTACCGGTTTCTAGCTTCTACACGGCTGTATAAAATTTTCTCCGTACAGTATTTTTTCTAGGGGTAAATTTTCTCAGGAACAGTTTTCAGTTTTTAAACTAAACACTCAGAATACGCGCGTTGAAAGACTAGAAACGTTACGGTCACTTTTGTTAGTTCTTCTGTTCGTTTGTTTTAGATACAGCCACAGTCAGTCATTATTCCATTATGCATTTGTCCGAAAACTGCCTATTTTCAGACAATAAATTGACTGCATGCCATGCATTAAATATTACAAAGTGCACGTTATCGATGGGAAAATACGGTACTAGTTGCCTAAAAGTAGTGAACTGCAGAACATAGTAGCAAATGATTAAACGTCTGCATGCTTGTGAATCTAGATCTTTAACGGTATTAAACCTGTGTAATATCTTTTTTTGAACTCAGTTCAGAAAATAAACGATTGTTTCTCATCACCAGAAAGTAATGACGCTATTTGTCAGCAGCGGTGTTGCAAATCTTGCCAGTTGTGACTGCAGACATGCATGTTTTCTTAGCAAATTGCTTACTTGATGTAGCCATGCCGTTATTAAAAGCTTTTCATAGATGTAACGGTGAAAATCCATCTGGTTGTCTTAAATATGACCTGTAAAATCAAGGAACAAGTCAATCGCATCCTGGACAATCTTAAAGTGGTTGCGAAAATCGCAGAGTTATTAAGTGATGGCGAACGGTAATGGACGTAGGCCAAGATGAATTTGTTGTTAAATGAGCCTCGTCGTACCTGTTGACGAAGAACAGAAAATTGCGACCGGTTCCGGCTGCAACATACTGTCCTGCTGAATGACTAATTAAGCCGTAATAATACTAAATTTTAGCCAGCGTGCCTCGCGATATCTTGCTACTCTTTCGATCTCGCTACATCATTTCGCTTAAGATAGTGATAAAGTACTGAAAATAACTGTGGTGAATTAGCTACGTGGCAATTACGGACCTTTGTAAACTGACTTACATTTGGGGCCGTGACTTTTTCTGACTATAGTGATCGTTAGTTTTATTTTGCTTTTATTGGCACATTAGAATGAAATTTATGTAGTGAAAAGTTTTATTTATATATTTCAATTTGCTACGTATGCACAATCTCGTGTTAACGTTTTACACAGCTTTCTATAACCCTGCGCTGAAGATCGAATTGGCTGCTTGCATGCAGCTGATCGTACTCCGCACAAGTGCTGAAACGCTTCGCATGCATTTCCATAGTTCTTCATGAATGTCAGCAATTGTTATTCCTGGATGAAACGACTAATGTATTAAGAAACGCTTAAGTAAATCTTATGGATGTAACTGAAACGCAGCTTCGGTCAGTACTCATCATGACTGGTCTCGGTACAGTCAGCCACTGTTTCGAATGCAGTTTCGTTTAAACTTGGATTTCTTCAAGTGTATTTGAAGTTGCATGCTTGCTGTGTCTTGGGCAGACGGGGCTTATCACCTTTTGGTTCAGCAGTGGCTCATGTTCTGTGATCACAGAACCGGAGTGCAGCTGGTGAGGCTGATGAATACTTCGTAGCAGTGGATGAATGTCACCGTCCTGAAGTGAAACCATCGGTTCTAGAGTTGGGTTCATCGCTGCAAGTGGCGCTTGAGTAAGAGGCATTCTTTGGGGGACGATGTTTGCCGGATTAGCAAGACTGAATGTGTTCACCGTTCCCATGTCATATCCTCCTTGTTCGTCCATCACAGCGCCACTAACGTTCAGTTTCTTTGACCGCCGCTGCTTGTCTCGCTGATGAAATATTCCCGCAAAGATCAGTATGTTCAGTATCAGAAGGGCACAGCCGACGGCAACAGTGACGCTTAGGATAGTGC